CATGTGTGCCTGGGACAGCAGCAAGTTGAGCTGGGTCAGAGCAGTCCCAGCTGGCAGGGGGCCGAGCGGGCCAGCTGCCAGCCTAGGGCTGCTCTGCTCTGGCTCAACATTGTGCTGAGGGGCTGGCTGGGGCACATGGGTACTCCAGTGCAGGGCTAGCCGGCAGGCAACCCTCGCACTGAAGTACCCTTGTGCCCCAGCCAGCCGGGTCAACATCTACACATGTGCTGCTGCACATGAAAAATTTCTGCAGCAGAATAGTACTTGTACAGGTACTATCCTGCTGCAGAGTTTATTTGTTTCCTGCAGCCTAATAGGGCCACATGTGTAGATGCTGAGATGTTTACTGCGGAGATAATTAGGCAGTTCTGAAGTAAATGTCTCATGTAGCTGTGCCCTGTGATTGGATAATGAGCAGCAGAAGGAGTTTCAATTTTGAATGGGTTCCCTGTGTCCTATTAAAATCAAATGATAAGGGAAATTACAATATTTCCTTATGGACACTTACTTAGATTCAAACGCTAAGTTTGTATGTTTCTGAAAATAAGATTTATCTAGACCTCTGTAACTTGTTGTCTTCTCACATTCATCTCCAGTCAATGTAAATAAGGGCATTTCTGGTTCTGTAGCACAACCAATCCAACTTTAACTCTGTTTGACCCAGGGTCAAAGTTGGGGCTTACTTGTATTGCTACAGGCTCATGCAGATGTAACACTTACAGCCTAACAGCTGCTGTATCCTTTTGAAGCCACATTTCTCCAAACCTTTTCTGTTTTACTTAATCTAAGTCCTGCCTAAAGTGCATCAACTCAAGGTAGATGATGTACTGTGTTCAGTATCCTTCGGTGAATTGCTCTGACAATTTACATATATTTCATATTTTGGTTTAACATTTTTATTTGGGCAAAGCTGAATAAAAAAACCCCAACAAAACAAAAGACTCGATTTTCTGGTGGTCTTGTTTCTGTGGGAGAAGTGCTACTGTACAACTGAGTAATAATGTCCTTATTTGACTGCCAGCAAATTGGGAGCATTGGGGCAAAGCCCTGTGCATCACTGACAATTTCCTCCAAATGTGTATGTAGAGGTCAGTGTCCTGTATTAAGGACATTTCAGCTGAATCCAACTGAACTCCAACTGTCTCAAATGATTAGGATGAAGTTTCTTAGCACTGTGATATATTGAAAAAAGATGGAAGTGTTATAGGCAGTTAACCTAATTTTGGCTATGCTGTATACATCTGTTTAAATTATTTTGATTTTTGCTTTTAAAACAAATCCTATTAAGTGTATTTGCAATTTGTTTAGCCATTTACCAAGAAGTTCTATAAAAATCTGCATTAGTAACAGGTCTGTGTCTCAGGTCAGTTCTGTCTCTGAAGGCTGGGAAAGCTGTTTCCTGCAGTTCTTTGCATACCTCTCTGCTTCCTTGGTGATGTTTTTATTTTCTTATTCTTTGTATTGTGGTAGCACCAAAGTGCATTCAAAGCTTTTTAAACATCAGAGATGATACAGTCTCTACCTCAAAGACCAGGCAGGCTTAAAACATTTTTTAAAAAGTTGTTGTGATCATTCTGAATTTACACTTGCATATGTTAAGACCTATCTCCTGTCAGTTGGGGTATCCCTTTGTAAAGACCTCTGCTATCAGGGAGGCAGGAATTCACTTCCGAATCACTCCCACACAGTTATTTGTAACAAATAACAAAATTTTATTGGCAGCAGTCAGCTTGATCAGCTACTAACTAAGTGCCAGCCTTGCTCTATGAGGACCAAATGAGGAGCATTCATTCCCTTCTCTTTAGGCTCTGCCTGATTTTTATGGACAATGCAACACAGGTCCATGGGACTCGCATGTTCAGGCTGTCCATGAGGACTGCCCTACAACTCAGAGGTGATTCTTCATCAGCTGGACGGGCACCAGTCAACTGATGTTCTCAATGAGCTTATTGCTTCAGAGTTTATTGCTCCTGGGCACATGTTCAAACAGTGCCTGGGGGAGGGGGAGGGGAGGGTCAGCCTGTCAGCCCAGGCCTGCTGCTCCCCCCAGCTGTGGAGGGGACTGTGGAGGGGCTGGCTGGGGCACAAGGGTGCTTCAGCATGGGGCTAGCCAGTAGGCAGGCCCCACACTGAAGCACCCTCATGCCCCAGCCAGCCAGAGCAGCGTCTACATGTGCACTGCTGCAGAATATTTTGCTCTGCAGCAGGATAGTATTTGTAAATACAAGTATTAATTATACGGTATTTGTATACAAATACTATCCTGCTGCAGAAAAGATCAATTTACTCTGGCATGATAGGGGCACGTGCAAACATTGAGATGTTTACTGTGCAACTAATTAGTCAACTTAGCAGTAAGCATCTTGTGTAGACATACCCACAGTGTTCCTCTTTTTTCCCAGGAGAGCTCACATTGGGAAATCAGGGTAGAATTTGCTGCCACCTCTCGGTCAGAATTCTTTTTGCTCATCTTCTGCCAGCCAAAGCTGCTAGGATAGGGCTACCTTTGACTTCACTGATACTGTTCTGTGAAGTGTTCTGTGAGGGGTGGTAGCTCTTGCTGAAGTTACAAAACCTGCCAAGTTTCAAGGAGATAGGTGGAGGGGTTTCTGGGAAACTGCACCTCAAACTGCTGACAAGCAAAACTCATGACATGGGTGACACTGTGTGTGTGTTAAGACACAGGGGGGTGAAAACTGCAGGGATGCTAGCCCCTTCTGGGTGTGTCCAGACATGCAAACATGTGCTTGCAGCAGCTCAAATAGGAGCGGTGCAAATTTGAGCCGGGGCTTTTTGTCTCAGCGCATGTACTCGGATGTGCACTTTGCTGTGGAGCAAATTGTGCCACTTGGGGCAAAATAACCCTGCCTGGCTCCTCCCCGATCTGCAACCAGGGGGAGCTAGAGCCCGGGACCAGCACCTGTGTTGTCCCCAGCAGTATGAAAAGCTGCCCTGTCCTGGCCCCAGCAGTACAAAAACCTGCCCTAGCCAGCAACTCTGGGTTACTTGACCTCAGGAGCTTCATTGTTTCATTTTAATTGTGGAAAAACATGTATATAATAGTGGTATTTCATTTTAATCACAGAAAAATTTTGTGTTACCTTTTTTAATCCAAAAATTGGGGATTTTGAAAAATCAGAGATAACCAGGATCCCTGGTTATTAGCAATATTTATGCCTGGTACCTGTCACTGATAAACAGGTTGTATTAACATTGCAATTGGTGGTGTCAATGTATTATGTGCAACCATGCCCAAATTAGTTTTAATCTAGCTAGTTCAGGTAGCAGACAGTGAATATGCTTGTGTCCCAGTGAATCCTGGGGCACAAGTAGACTTATGTAGACTACCGTGAAGACCCTGCTGCCAGATCTTCAATGCTATTGGTTACCAAGGTACCTAGAATGAAACAAAAGTCTTTCCTCTCTCCTGTTGCCTAAGAAAAGGTGTTCCGGCCAGCTACTGACTCCAAACAACATGTATGTATCAATCAGGAATACTATTTCACATCTTTATAGGAGACTCTCAGAACAGACAGCACTACAATAAAAGACAGTGGATTAGATATGTTTTTGTATATCATTGAGAGTAACATCCTATAACCTAGGCCAGAGAATTTCATCCAGATTTTTCTGTATTTCATTCTATAACTTGTATTTAACTAAAGTAAATCTTCTAGAAAGACATCCAGTCTTGATTTAAAGACTTCACAAGACAGAAAATGAACTATTTTGGCAGTTGTTAATCATCATCACTTTTAAACATGTATGCTTCATTTTTTACTTGAACTTGCAGCTACTGGTTCTTGTCATGTCTTTCTCTGCTAGGTTTAAGAACTCTTTGGTACCTGGTATTCTCTCCCGGTGAACCTATATGTACACAGTAATAAAGCTAACTGTTGATTTTCTTTTAATTAACTAAACAAATTAATCTCTTCAGGAGCTAAAAAGGCATTTTGTCTTGTCCTCAAATGATACTTTGTGGTACTCTTGTCTATCCTTTCCACTTTGGAAAGGAGCTCTCCTCAGGAGGCTGCAGACAGCAGGGAAATGAGCAGGGAGCTGGAGACAGCCCTGGAGACATTCCCCTGCTGTTCCTTGCTCTCCAAAGGCTGGAGGCAAGCAGGGGAAGAAGCAGGGGGCTAGAGACAGCCCGGAAGACATTCCCCTGCTGTCTCCAACCCCCTGCTTCTTCCCCTGCTCCCCCAAAGGCTGGAGACAACCAGGGGAACGAGCAGGTGGCTGGAGATGGCCCCGGAGGCATTCCCCTGCTGTCCCCTGCCCTCCCAAGGCTGGAGACAAGCAGGGGAAGAAGCAGGAGGCTGGAGCCAGTAGGGGGATGTCTCCAGGGCTGTCTCCAGCCCTCTGCTTCTTCCCCTGCTTGTCTCCAGCCTCGAGGGAGAAGGGGAAGGAGCAAAGGGCTGGAGCCAGCAGGGGGATGTCTCCAGGGCTGTCTCCAGCCACCTGCTCCCTCTCCTGCTTGTCTCCAGCCTCAGGAGAGCAGGGGACAGCAGGGGAATGCCTCCAGGGCTGTCTCCATCCCCTTGCTTGTTCCCCTGCTGTCTCTGTCCTCCTGAGGTCCCCTCCCCCCTCCTCCAGCACCCCAACCCCCTGCTTACCTGGCAAAAACTGGGTCCGGGTTCCTGCAGCTTGCACTGCTGCCTGCCCAGCATGGAAGTGGGAAAAGGGCCAATCATAGAGATGCTCTGGCAGTGTGCCACAGTGTCTCTGGAGGACTGAGCCTCCGGTTGACTCGGAACCGGTTACCTGACTTGGTTTTTTCCCCCTGGGTTTTGGTCTAATTTTCTCCCCATGCTGCAAACAATTGGGTAATTTCCAAAACACTTTCTTGCATAATGTTGAATTCCATGTTAAAATATATGGACTTTATGCCAGCATTTTATGTTGAGTATACTACTGCATCTAATCTCTCAGAACTCAAATTACACTTAAGATTGATACTGGCTTTTCAATTGGGTTTTTTTTGGTTTTTTTGCAAACAGAAATCTGATGGTGAATATCACCAATGGGAAATTGTCAGAACATGAAATTATGACTATCGGGCGTTACTACAGCGTGCGAGATGACGCTGAAATGGACGTCAACTTCCTTCTCGCAGTAGTTCAAGAACAGCTGAAGAAAAATACCTTTGAGAATTTTCGACAACTCTTTGCCACCTTTGTGTACAATGACTGCAAAAAGTAAGTTTTCTATATCTGTTCCAAGCTAATAATTGACACACACAGCCTTTCTTTCTTAACTGGTTTACAGTTTGGAAAACATCCACTGGAAAGCCTTTCTCTCAGCAATTTACATTGGTGCATTCAGCAGCTTGAAATTTGGCCCCTGATATGAGCCTCTCAGCATTTGAGGATAGATGGGAACAGAAAAGCAATCCTGTTTCCTTTTTTTAATTTTTAATTTGCTTATGGATTTTTACTATTCCTTCTATATGGGATTGACTATGAAATAATTAAATTTCTGGCCAACTCACTGTGAAACAACTATTTTTCCTCCTCCATTAAAAAATAAATCATAGCACCCCTTCCCCCCCGCCCCCAAGATTTGTAGTTAATTTAAAATTGCCACTTTTATATTGCTTTTTCTTTTTAGTTTTATGAGATAATGTGTTTAGTATTAAAATCTGTAAATATATTACCTCTATTAAACACCTCTATTGGCCTCATAGACCAATACCTCTATTAGACAGTGGTAGGAAATTATGTGCAAAGTGTTGACATTTTGGCTATTTAGTACAAGAGAGGTTTTATGAAATCTGATTTTCATTTTCACCCTTAAGTTTCCACAAGCTTTATAGTATTTCCTTATTCAAAAATTAATGTAACCAAAATATAAACTTTCTTGTCATGGGCAATCCAGGATTTTGTGAAGGGGGAAGAGCAGCAACAAGAGCTGCAGGGGTGGTGGCATCCCCACTCCTAGTTTCCCCCTACACCCTGCTGGGCAGTACATGCTGTAGTAGCTGCAGCCAAGGACAGTTTTAAATTCCCCAATCAAATAAGAATCCATGCTATGGGGCACCTCCCCTACCCTCCTATTCCTTGCCTCCCCCACCTGCACTGCCACAATTCTTGCTGTCCCTGGCTGACCAAAGGGCAGGGGGAGCTCTAGAGCCAGTCCTGCCCCCTTTAACCAGGCTGTACAGGTAGTTCTTGACTTATGACCGTTTGAAGTCCGATGATCTGCAGTGCCAATGTTTGTAAATTGACACCCAGGGTTTGAAGTTCTGACCCACGTTTCAACTTTACAATGCTGGATGCCAGAGACAGGTCTGTCAGTGGAAGGGGAAGGGGAAGAGAAGGGCCATGGGGGAGCAGATCAGGGCCCCTGTGGTGAAGGAGGGGCTGGGGCTGGGGCAAGCACTACCAAGCCAGGGCTGCACTGGGTTCTGCAACCAGGGGCTATGGGCAGCGGTAGAAGCTGTGACTCATCTGGCTGCTTACCTGGATGCCCCCACTGGGGGAGAGGCAAATAGAGGCAGGTGGCAGCAGGAGAAGCTGCAGCTTGTCTGGCTGCTTCCCCGGCTGCCCCCACAGGAGCGAGGCAGGCAGAGCCGGGCGGATCTTGGGAGAAGTTGCAGCCATCCAGCTCTGCCTGCCTCGCCCTGGCAGAAGAGCCAGGGGAGCAGCCAGGTGGCTGCAGCTTCTCCCAAGGCTCGTCTGTCTGCTCCCCCAGCTGCCCCCGCTGGGGAGAAACAGGCAGAGCTGGGTGGCTATGGGAGAAGCCACAGGTCGTCCAGCTGTTCATACCACTTGTCATGGGGTAGGGGGGAACTTGTGAACTCGGATCTGATTCGGGTGGGGCGGGCTGCAGTCGCGGCAGATCTGGGGGCACATGGCACCCCCACATGCCCTTCCAGACACGTGGCTGGAGAAGCAGGGTGCTGCTCCTCTGGGAGCCATCTGCGGGGCAGCTCCTTTAAGAAGCTCCTTGGACACTTTCTTTAAGAAAGCAGACAAGACTCCAGAAAAACTTGCAGCCAAGACTCCTGAGAAGACTCCAGCCAAGAACCCTTCAAAAAGTCCAGCAAAGTCACCTCAAAGAAGTCCTGCCAAATAAATGTTTGCTATTTACAATATAAATACATAAATACATATAGACAAGTAATATAGCTACAATTATTTATTTTATATAGTTGATTGAGTACTGTACAAAGTTCTGGGTTATTTTTGGTGAAAAAAGGTATCAGGCCTTGGTTCAGGAACCAATCCCCCATTTATAACATTGTTTCCTATGGGGAAATTGTTTCTGAATTACAGTGTTTTGACTTAAGACGCGGTTTTCAGGAACCAGTTGTGTCGTAAGTCTGAGGACTGCCTGCATACGGAACCAAGCTCAGCCTGAAGTAGCAGCAGTGGCAAACAGGAGGCAGGGGGAGAATGGGAAAGGAGGGAAATGGAGGAGAGGGGAGGTGCCACTGAACATGGAGGGGAAGGGAGGAGGAAATTCTTATCTGTTTCTGGGGCTTAAAGAAGTCCCTGGCTATAGTCCCACAGCATGGTCTAAAAGGGGGATGTGAGCATGCTACTGCATCCCACTCTGGGTCTTCCCTGTCTTTCCCTTATTGTTAAATAGGTGGCTACAATGGCAGAGCAGTTGAGACATATCATTTTGTCTCCAGAAACTTGAGTTTAAGCTGAACTCCCAGACACAAACCAAAAGTTTCCCATCTTAAGCCAGCCATGCATGGGTACCTGGTTGTTTGGACTGTGGAGTCAAAGATGTCTGAACATGGTGCTAGTTACATCTTTCTTGTGTAGCATTGGCTACAGAAACTGGTGTGCTTTAATCATGCTAGGCCAAGGGTGGGCAAAATATGACCCATAGGCTGGATCTGGCCTGTGCGGCAGGTCTTTGTCCAGTCCATGGCGGGTTCCTCAGTCCCCTGGCCCAGGCACAGTTGAACTATGGCACATCCTGCCACCTTCTGGGCATGCATTGGGGCTGGGGCAACTTTCTAGGCAGCCCAGGTGGCAGTCAACTCCTTCTGGCTGCTGCCACCACCACCAGCCCCAGCCCCATGCCCCAGCCAGAAGAAGCCACTGCCACCCACATTGGCTAGAAAGGCAGTCTAGCCGTGGAGCTGCCCCAGCTGTGCTGCATGCCCAGGGGCAGCAGGATGTGCCATGGGCGGGTGGCCTGGGGTGGGCTGGGTCAGGGCTGTGCCCAGGTTCTGGCTGATCCGCTGTGGCAGAGGTGAGTCCAGAGTGGGTGTGGGGCGCACTGAGGCTGTGCGCTACTGGCAGTGGCAGGGAGGCTCTGTGGGGCACGCAGGCTCTGGGCTGTTGAAGGGTGGGGAATTACTGGCTCGGGGGCACGCACAGGGCTCTCATGCACACCCCACTATACCCACAAACCCTGCCCCGCAAACCCCACCACACTCTCCCCCACACACAATCACACACCCCACACACACTGTACCCACCCACACCCTTCCCCACAAACCTCACATGTACCCCCACACACCCATGTGCCTCTGGGGGGAGCCCCACTCACTGCTACATGCACACACCCCACCACGTGCACACCCACACCCCCTACACACCTCACATTCACCTCCTACACACTTCTCAACCATCCTCCCCCTCCACACATCCCACAAACGCGATACCCACCCACACCCCCCATACACATCTACCCACATACATACCCACCCCTCCATACCCCCCGACTCCTCCATGCTCCCTTACAATATACAAGAGTAAGACTTTATTTGGAGCTATTATGCAATCACCTCCATATACATCACACAAACACACACAAATCAGGACAAAAATATTTTTTTAAATAAAATTAAAATATGCTATTGTCAGTATTTGATTTTTAATATACAAAATGTTTCTTTTTTTCCATTTCCAAGATGGCAAACCCCCTTCCCAAAAGAAGTACTTCTGGGGGCAAAGGGAGGGACTTCTGGTGGGAAAGTTCAGGGGTTAGGGGTGGGACTTACCAAAGTGGTGGCGGGGGGGGGGGGGGGGTAGGGCATCTGCCAAGAGGGTGCCATGTCACCCTCGACAGGTCTCCAAAACTTATTAAGCAGCCCTCCAGCTGAAATAAGTGCCCGCCCCGTGCTAGGCGAATGGAGTGCTAGGCCCAGAAGGACCTCTCCTTCTGACTTTTGATATATAGGGATAGAGATGGAAAGTATAAAAAGCACTTTTTCATGTCTCTGTATTTGTGTGCAGATGTGGATTACTGTCTCGTGATGAATGCAGAACAATTTGTAAATCCTTCAGATTGCCAGTGGCTGATGATCTTCTGAGAGCTTTACTGACCATGTAAGTCACAGCCAGATAAAATGGCATGTGTGTGATTAAATCACTTGCTTTGTAGTATAATCTGAATTCAGTGATATGTGAGTATTTAACATAAAATATATGTGTTTCCTAAGAATTTGATCTGTCTATACAATTTTGCATGTGCTGAAGCAATGATTCCTTTCTACGTGCAAGTTTTGGTTCTCATAGGCAACTATCTTTGTTACGAGTTTTACAATATGGTCCCTGGTTGCTTCTTTTTGCCTAGATAAAATTAAGAAAATTATTTTGGGGATATGGAGAATTCTTCTTATCATGTAAATCACAGTAGTGGTTCTTATTTCTTGTTGGTATTAGATGTTTTCAGGCTTGCATGACTAGATTTTAGCAGGAATTTCATTACATGCTCCAAGATTTATCATTCATGTAATGTATAATGTTTCTTTTCAAATAGGAAGTGGAAACCAGTTTGACAAAGGTGAAACAAAGTTTAACTGTATTCAAATATTTCTTGCCCACGCCCTAGCCCTCTACATTTCACTGAGTTTACAGGACATTGCTTGGGGGAAGAAACCTCTTAAGTCAGTCTTTATTGGCAAGACTGCTGTAAGAAACCTAAGGCACTATAACCATCCCTGTGGCCCTGTTCCTCTATGGTCCACAAACATTCATGGAGTTTCCAGTGGTAGCCAGATGGATGATTTTGGTAATTGCTGGCCATTTATCACTTCTGACAGTTGGGTCACAAGCCCTGGTCAAAATACATGCAATAAAAAGAGGGGAAGAAGCTTTTCTTCATATAATAACTAATATTGATGAAAAGCAGGAAAGTTTTGACCTAGCCTGCTACATGCACAGAGCTATATTTAGAGCTTTAGAGCTCTAAATATATATATATTTAGGGCTTTAGAGCTATATTTGTTGTTTTATCATGGAAAGCCTTGAGAAAAGATTTTCTCTTAAAAGAGGGAATGCAGGCATTTAAAAAATCACCCATATCCTTTAATTGATGATAATGATTAAAATTATACACAAATTTAGAAGATAAGGGGGGACATTTAATATCAAATAGAAGATCATTTCAACCTAAAAGTCTTTCTTATGTGATAAGATATTGTCTCATAACTAAAGTTATTCACTCACAAATATTTATTAAACTGAAAGATCTTGATGTATACAGTGTGTTCTTACATTCCAGATAAGAGGAAAGTATTTAAATCCTTAAAAGCTTGTACAGTTATTATAGGAGTTTTGTTTAATAAGGATTTGACCTTTGTTTAATTGAGGTACGTAGTCAGGAAGAGATGTCCTTCACTGGATTTAATAGGAATTAATTTCCATTTTATGGAGAACCCTTGGATTATAGGAGTGCTTGGAAGAGATTTAATATCTATGGTTTCACATTTCACATGGAGGATGGAATACCATGAAACATCTAAACATCTAATGAAAAGCAGTCTCACTTCCGGTGAGGTCCACAGTTCAGTCTGAAGCAAACCTTCTTATCTCTTCACATAAGTCACTTCACCTAACTTTTGTGATGAGGAAGAATTTGATTTTGTTTCTACTGATACTTAATCCGAAGCAATCATTAGAGATTTCAGCCATGCATTTCTGAATGCATTAAATATATTAAGGAGGAAAATCATGCAATACAAGGTGTTGGAATAGCTCCAGGAAAACTGGAGCTATAGCTAATGCATTAGCTGGACTTCCTTCAGCTATAAAGTGATCTTTGGCCATATGATTGAATAAAAGTTGTATAATTTGAAACTATATATACGCATATCTTACGTGTATATCTTTCCTGAGGTTAAGCAAGAAATAACTTTCTCACAGTACTTAACAATTTTACTTTTCCATTTAAAAAGTAATACCCTTAAAATATTTATCATATAACATGTATATATCATGTCATATGTCCATGACATGGGGAGTAAAGACATTGTGCAAAATCCTGGCACCATGGAAGTAGGGATGTGAATGACTAAACAATTAACCGTTTAGCTGGTAAGTGCAGTGATAATTACTGGTTATCCTTTAGCTTGGGGCTGGTGTAGTCTGGCAGGGAAGTGGGGAAGGAAAACCATGTGGTGCTCCAGCAGGA